TGTCGGGGCTCCCGCTGCCCCCCTCACCTCGGAGCGGGGGCAGGGGGCTGCCAGGAATCCTGCTCCTGCTCTGTCAGACTGTCCAGCTTCGGGGAGGGTCATTTTTTTCCTGCTGTTTTATCCAATTTCGGGTAGGTTTTCTGCTGTCTGGCTAACGCCCCTGACCGGGAGCTTCCCGGTGCATTCCCCCTTAACTGCGACGGGGAGAACCCGTGGAAATGGGTCATCCGTGGAGATGGGTTTGGGCAGTGGGGAAGCTGGTACAGTTTCTTGGATTTTTTTGGATGCTGAGCAGAAGCAAGACTCTGCTTTCTTGAGGGGATGGTGGTGGCGATTTTGGGGATGAACTGTGCCTGAAAGGGAACAGAGACTTTTTGATAGTGGCCATGTAACAAAAGAGAGCAGCACCGGGGCTGGTCCTGTGCAAGAGCCTGAGAGCAGAGGAGCTTGGAGGGTGTCAGGAACAGCAAAAGGGGAAGGCGTTTTGGGGCAGAGTGGCTCAGGGTTACCTCTCCATCTAGATTTGTTCTTTTGTGGAATTACTGCAGTTTCCTCCTGTTTGTGAGGAGATGCATGGCCATGAGAAATGGCACCATACAAGCTCTCTTGCAAATCTGGGTGTTTATGTCCTTAGCTGAAGGTTGTGATGCTACGGTCCCACTACAGCTGGTAATTCTCCTAAAAAAGACTGCAGGTATGCACCCACCCAGCTCTCACCCCTTTGGACTGCTGTGATCAGGCATGGCTTTATACAGCTGGAGAGTTAGGGGTATTCCTGATCTGTCAACCCTACATGGATGTGGCTCTGCAGCACAGGAAGGATGCAGGCCTCCAGCATCCATGCTCTTAGCACCACAGGAGCTGAAAACCTCCAAATGTCTGATCTCAGCTGGCCAAAGACTGCAAGGAGGTAATCTGAACTCAGCAGGGGATGGTACAGCTGTTCATGCTAATATGGGAGTTACTGTTGTGGTTGTCTATTACAGGTGACCTGATCAGGATGAGGAAGCTGATGAGACCTTCTACAGACAGCTGAAAGCAGCCTCACAATCACAGACCCTGGTTCTCATGGGGAACTTTAATTACCCCGACATTGAGTGTGAACACTCAGGCATGCACAGTCCAGGAGGTTCCTGCAGTGCATTCATGACAGCTCCTTGACTCCTCAAGTAGAGGAGTGCTGCTGGACCTACTAACAAACAAGGAGGGACTGGGACTTACGGGGCTTTAAGGCTGTTAAATGTCACTGGTCTGTTTCTGTGTTTCCTAACAAGTTTTTCCTTCCCTCCACTTTTAAAGGAGCTGAGTTGGGAAATCTCTTGTTCAAGCCATACCCTCCTCAGTCTGATTCCTGTGAGACTGCTGCTTTACTTTGCAAACCAGAACTCCCCGAAGAAGTGTGCCTTCCTCTGATAGGGAGCATCCAGGTCAGAGGCCTTGTGTTGTCATCCTGCAACAGCCAAGTGGTGGCAGCTTCCTTCTGTGCTCTGTTTGTGCCTGTGAAAACGACAGGCCCCCTCTCCTCTAGATCTGGACTGAAACAAAAATCCCAGCCTTCATCATGAGAGATACCTGGCCCATTGGATTGATGGTACTTGTGTACATCTGGTTTCCCAAGGTTGCTGCTCAGAATCTCATAAAAAACCCCAGGGACCAGAAAACAGAGCATACCCTCTTGATTAATGAAGTCAATGCCGACAGCCCAGGAGAGGACAATTCTGAGTTTGTGGAGCTCTATCATACCAGTGGTCATACAGCCCACTTGGATGGCTACTATCTGGTCTTCTACAATGGCAATGGAAACAAAGCCTACAAAGTTCTAAACCTCCAGGGCAAAGTTACTAACAGCCAAGGGCTCTTTCTCATTGGCTCCTCTTCTGTGAAGCCTGCTATGGTTATTCCTAAGAACACCATCCAGAATGGCCCTGATGCCATTGCTCTCTACTATGGAAAAGGGAACTACAAGGAGGGCATGAGTGTCACAAGTTATGGTCTGGTAGATGCCTTGGTCCATAAGACTAAGAAGACAGACAGAGCAGATACACTGGTCAGGGTACTGACCCCTGGCAGAGATGCTTTCCTGGAGGACTCCACCTTCATGACCATGGATGAGTCAATAGAAAGGTGCCAAGGGGCAGATTCTCAATGGATCTTCCAAGTGGCCATGCCCACCCCAGGCACAGACAACCACTGCATCCTAACGTCTCAGCTGAACGCATCTGCTGTCCTGATCAGTGAGGTCCTTGCTGCATCTTCTTCTGGAGACTTTGAGTTCATAGAGCTTCAGGGTCCCCACTCCACCATGCTGAGGGACATTGTTCTGGTGCTAATTGATGGTCGGACCAAAGACATTTATTTCACCATGGATGTTTATGGCAAAACCTCACTGGATGGGCTACTTCTGATCGGGCCAGGACAGAGCAAAACCCCAGGTAAGGACTGCATTTTGATGACTACCTTGGAGCTGGGGGAACAATCAGCCAAGTTTGGGGCTGGAAGATGCTGCTGTTTTTTATTGTTTGGTGTTCTGAGAGATCAATGAAAATGTGACTCAGAACTCAGTGGCAGATAAAAAAGCAAATTTCTAAAATCTTAGAAATTATTGGAAAATTAATTATATAAAGGAAATTAAATATTAGAAACTATTAGGGGAAGAGTAAAGAATGGAGGCCATCTTTTATGCCACTGTATAAATTCATGGTTTGCTTGTATCTTGCTTGTATCTTTAATTGTGTCTTGTGGTACAATACCTTAATCTAAAAAGGATATATTAGAATTGGAGACATTCAGAGAAGGTCAGCTAGGATTGATAGTGTTCTGAAAATGCTTCCACAGAAGAAATAACTAAGTATGCCTAGAAAAGGGAAAGCTTAGGAGGGTCTTGACAGAAGTTGCAGAAATATGAGTAGCATGAAGAAAGTGGAAAGGGATTGATTGCTTATTCTTCCTCCTGGTGCAAGAACTAAAGGGCATCAAAAGAAGGTAGAAAGAAGTGGTTTAAGGACAAACAAGTGAGACAGTATGTCTTGCAGTGGTGGTAGACCTGCAGAGCTCCAGGTGAGAGACCTCATGGAGGTCAGAAGCCCACATGTGCCTTTGCTGCACCCAGCTGCATGGCCAGCCTGGGCAGGACCCTGACTGCGCTACGTCCCCTTGAAGTGTCCCCCTAATCCATGCATAACTTGGTCGTCCTGCGCAGCAGATACATACTCTCCTTGAGAAAGCACAAGGACTTTTCTTCCATTGCACCATCTGCAAATGTAGGTCACGCGTGTATCAGCTGTGTGAAGCTGCCATCTAAACTTCTTCCCAACATTCAAAATTTCTTCCAGGCCACCAGAGGAGGAAGAAATATCTTGTTATTTTGGGCACCTCATAAGAAGATATTGGCAGCTGGAGACACTGACTCTGCAGATGTCTTGTGTAATTCACTGACTCATGATTTCTGAGTCGGCGAGTATATTCATCTGTCACAAAGCTGGTTCCCATAAACATGAAAATACTTTTGCAACTTTTTTTAAAAGCAGTCGAGCTCTTTTTTACAATTCAAACTGCTCCAAATACTCTTTCATGACAAGTAGAACAGCTAATTGAGCTCTGCTTTTCTCTCCAGGAAAGGTGCACCACTCTCACCCCTGGATGAACTGGGGCTGTTAGCAGTCAACAGCTAAGGGGGTTCAAAGAAAGCAACACAAATGTACAGCCAGCTTGCAGACTGAGCAGGAAATTTCTAAGGATTATATCTAACCTTTCCTCAAGGCTCACTCAAGTCAAGAAGGTGACTGGAGATGTGCTTTGGCATTTTTTTCCAATGGGGCTTTGTCAAGATGTCCCAAGTATACTGCATGCACATTTTTGTGGACAGTTTTCTGCAAAAAACACCCAATGACACTATGTGATTTCATTTTACTCATCTTAGAAGGATACTTTCGTAGTGACTCTATGTTGAGTGCTCTGTGAGAAGTTGACCACTTGGTTTAACCTGACCACTTCAGATTTGGGAGAGAAGCTCTTAAAATGGCCCTGGCTGTTAGTCCTGTCTTTGTGAGACTTGTCTGCCTAACACTGCAGAGAACTTAAAGCTATGAGAACACTGGAGCAAAAATCCTCTCTAGACAGACACCAGTCTGAAAACTTTCAAGTGATGGAACACCTTATCCTTGGTGCCA